AAAGCTGCCATGAATATTTGAATACAGTGTTTGGAAGGACATGTGTTTATATTTCTTAATTCCTAAGAGTGATATTATTGGGCTGCTTGGTGGGTACGTGAGAAACTATGAAACTGCTTACGATATGGTTCTATCGCTTTAAGCTCCCCCAATAAGATATGAGAGTTCCAGATGCTCTGCATGTGTACCAACCCCTAATGTTATTTAATTTTATCTTCTCTAGAGGTTGCACTGTAGTATCTTACTGGCCTTGCCATTTGCATTTCTCTGATGAGGCTGAAAATGTTTTGATGAACTTATTGGACATTTACATTACTTTTTTTTTAAATGAAATGTCTGCTCAGATCTTTTGCTCATTTGTCATATGATTGTTAAGTTGTAAGATTTAAATGTATATTCTGGAGAAAAGTTCTTTGATACACTTAATATAGTGCCTATTGTTCTCAGTCTGTGGCTTGACTTTTCAATTTCTTGACTCATGTTGGAGGAGGTCATCAAGAGGACATGACTGCCAGTTGACCTGTGGGCTGGATTCGGGGAACCAGAGGCTCCTCACCTCCTCCCCTGTCCTTGGAATGTGCATTCTGCCTGCCCTCCCAGCACTGCAGCTGCCTCAAGGACAGAGCCTTGAGATAGTAGTGTTGTTGAGAACATCTGGACCGTATACATGCCTGAACCTAGGAATGCCTGACCTCTATACAGACTCTTAAGATTCTGCCAACTGGGTGTGGAGATCTGCTTCAGGCCGCTCAGGACAAGCCTCATGTAAGTTCCCTTGCTCATTAAACTTACTACCTACCAATCTTGGAGCACTCTGCCTTTCTTCTGTCTCTCCTTGACCCCTTTGTATGGGGACCAGTTTGCAAACCAACAACTGCTTTCAAAGAACAGAATTGTTTAATTCTGATTAAGTCCAATTTATGAAGATTATTTTCATTTATGCTTAAAACTTTTTGTGTCACATTTCAGAAATCTTTGCTTACACCAAAACTGTGAACACCATCCTCTATTTTTTCCTTGAGATTTTGTAATCTTAGCTACTACATTTGGGTTTATGATTTATTTCAGTAAATTTTGGTGTTTGCTATGAAGTAAAGTACTCTAGGTAAGGACTTTCTTTTTTCCGTGCAGATACCCATTCATTTCAGCACCACTTGTGGAAAAAGACATTATTTCCCCATTTGATTACCTTGTTCCTTTTTTTGAAGTTGATCGTATGTGGGTCTATTTTTGGACTCTCTAAATATATACATTTATTTATGCCAATATCACAGTCTTTATTACTGTAGCTTTATAGTAGCCTCAAAGTTAGGTAGTGTAAACCCTACAATTTTGTTTGGCAAAACAAACCTCTTTTGACTATTCTAGGTCCTTTCCATTTCCATATACTTTTTTCAATCAGCTCATCAATTTCTACCACCCAAAAATAATGTAGGAGGGAGTTTTCATTGAATCGACAGATTAATTTTGGGGGGACTGATATTTTAGCAATAGTAAGTCTTCCAATCCATTAATATAGCCTGTCTTCATTTATTTAGATCTTTATTCTGAGCAGTGCTCTGTAGGGCTCAATGTATGTGTCTTCAACATACTTCCTAAAATTTTCCTCTAAGTGTTTTGTGTTTTGCAATTATAAACAGTATTTTTCATACTAATAGTAATACAAGTGATTTGGGTTATATACATAGGATTCTGCAAAACTGTTAAAATTACTTAAAGTAGCTTATAGGTAGATTCTTTAGTATATTTCATGTATAGGATCATGTTATCTACAAATACAGTGTTACTCCTTCCATTTCAATCTGTATGCCTTTACATTTTTTCTTGCCATATTGCACTGGCTATGACTTGCAGTAAAAAGTTGAAGAGCAGTGGTGAATTAGACATTTTTGCCCAGTTTCTGATCAGAGGGGAAATCAGTCATTCACTGACTATTATGATGAGGTCTACAGGTTTTCAGTAGGTGCTTATTATGAAGTTTCAGGAAGTTCCCTTCTTTTGCTGAGAGTTTATAACAAAAGCATAGTAAATCTGGGCAATGCTTTTTGTATATCTATTTAAATAAATAATTTATTTCTTTATTTGGTTAATATGGTGAATTATAGTGACTTATTTTTCAGTGTTAATCAAACTCACAGTCCTGGCATAAACCCCAATTTGTCATGATATAGTATCCCTTTTATATGTGTCTAGTTTATATTTACTAATATTTTGTTAAGTATTTTTACATCTGTCCATGAGGGATATTAGTCTATAGTAATTTTTCTTATCATATTTATATCTGGTTTTGGTATCAAAGTAATGCTGGCCTTATATAAGTAGTTGGAATATGGTCCTTCTGAAAGAATTTGTCTAGAATTTGTATAATTTTTCCCATAAATGTTTGACAGAACTCGCCAG